CCAGGGGACGACGATCAGGAGTCGAGGGGAACCGGCGAGGCAGGTAACAGCAGAGCATTTTGTCGTGCACTCGGGCCACGGCAGAGACAGCAACCATGCGTGTGGAGTCGCAGTAGCGCTTCACAGACACAGATATGACGAGACACACATCGTGCGCATAGTCGAGGGCCAGAGGAAGCTACAGGGCAGAGCACTCATGGTCAGATACAAAAGGGGGCGCCAGGACCTCGCTTTGTTTGCCCTGTGCTACCCGCCCAGAGGAAAGGGGAAAGGCGCGGTGGCGGAGCAGAAGGCCACATCGTCTGAGCTCACAAAAAGGTTGCACGACCAGCTCAGCTCTCTTCCAGCACGTTGCCTCCCGCTGATCGGAATGAATCTTAATTCAGAATGTGGCTTGGATGAGACGGCCTCACAAGTGACGGGTACAATCATGCCAGCCGCTGAAGGACTAATTTTCGCAGCATCAAGCCGACGTTGCAGGCACATGACCTGGTGTTGGCCAACACGTACTTTGACGCGGGCACCACGTACTACGGCATCTCATCAAAAGTAGTGAGACGTATTGATTATTTGCCGTGCCCGCGCAGTATGATTCAGAACGTAGAAGAGTGCTTCGCCTCCGTCAACAAGGGTAGGAGATTGCAGCACATCAGGTGCAACACACCAAAGGATCACTTCCCTCTCTACACGGCCATGTGGCGCACATTCGAGTACCAGACGAAGCCCATGATGCTGAGATGCAGCCAGGAAGCGTGCAACGCAGTCTTGCTGTACGGCACGGGTAGACGACAGTTGGTGGCGCAGGTTCAAGAGAGGTTGGCAGAACACAAGCAGCAGTTCGAAGAGTGGGAGATGGAAGGAGACGTGGATCAACTCAACGCGGGCATCATGCAGATCGTACAAGAGGTCGCAGCAGAGAAGCTGCAAGAGTCTCCAGGATACGTCGAAAAAACGTGAAGCAACATTGGCACAGAGCTCTCAGATGAAAGATCTACTCAAGGCGAGACGTCAGGCCAAGGAGAATGAGACACAGTACCCAGATGAATGCAACATCGAAGTATCCAGATTAAGTCGACAATTGAAGAAATTCAAGAAGCAGTTCGTTCAATCCCTCGCGGAAAAAACGTATTGAAGGTCTTTGGGATGCGTGGAGAGCCAGGAGATTCTACGACGCTCACAAGATAGCGAGACTATTGGCTGGAACCTGCCGAGGGCCGCGAGGCCGACGGCATAACTGAGCGCCCTCCTGAAGCGCATCGGCAGCAGAATGGACCGACAAGTTCCAGCAGACAGGAGAAGAAGGAGGAGCACGAGCGCAACTACCAGAGCGAGGTGAAGATCCCGAAGTTTGCTCTAGATTCTGGAGGCTACCTTTTGAGCAGCAGGCCGTGGAAGCAACCACCGGAATGAAGGCTTCTCGCAGTGCACATCACAAGCCTTCGCATCTGGAATGGATCAACCCCAACGAGACGGACGAGATGCTGGACTACACTGCTATTCATGAAGAAGCCTTGTTCATGGTGGAACGCCTCAGGAAATCCCTGAAGCGACTGGCGCCATGGAGAGCGCAGCCCGGCTGGTCGGCACCAAGTGACGTGCTTAGAGTTTTAGCAGTGTTAAATTGGCACTATCGACCTCAGCGCGGCGGTGGACTGGGACTGCAGCCCGAGGATGAGCAGATCGAGGCGCCAGAGTTTGAGAGGGCGCCTTACTTGCTTTGCAGATGTATCGGAACGGTTGGGGGAGCACCCGCCGCCTGGCATCAGGCCTCGCGTTGTAGGCTAGCGAAACGCAATGACAAGCTGGACACCGCGGCGGAGAGGCCAATCATGTTTTTTGTGGGCTGGGTAGATCGTTCTATCGTTCATTGATGAAGAGGGATCAACACTACGATTATTGGGCGCATGGGGGTATATCACACAGGCGTCGAGAAGATGCAATGTTGGTTCAACAATGTGGATCAGCGGGGCTTCGAACAGCAGGAGCGGCACATATTCCGCGGTACCACGATGCCAGCAATGCCTTTTATTGCGTGCACAAGGATGTCGTAGAATGTGCAGTATCGGAATTGGTTCAGGTGGGCAAATCTTCCCCCAGAGGATCTACAACAGTACGTTCGTTATCGCAGACGGACACACCAGTGCGCACATGGTAAATGGGTCAGGAGTACTTCCAGGAGACCATGCTGCCACCAAGCTGTTTGTGAAAACTTGCGGATATGGCGTCGGGTCCATGATGTCGTCTCTTGATCAAGGCCCATGGCAGAGAGCTTTGCACACGACAGTGTCAGATGCCATCCAGTCGCCGCACGACCAGAGGACCGTCGACCTTGCCACCAGTACATTCGTCGACGATGTCGCTCGGAAATCATGGGAGCAGATCAACATCGCATCCAGAGAGTTGCCCCTTGGGAAACTACAGTTTTTGATCATGGGCTGGAGGCAGTTGGAGGCGCGCAAAATCGGGACAAGCAAGTTAACCTCGTCCAGGGAGCGGGCCCCACAGCGTCGAAGTTCAATAGGGGTTCCCACTCGAGACGTCTGGGACTTGAAGGAAAAACAGTCTCGGCTGCCAGATATCTTGGGGGGCAACAGCGCTACAATAATGGATTTTCAGCTGAGAAACACGTTGGACTTCAGGCAGTTAAAACGGCTTGGTTCAGAATGGGGGCTTCGTGGACCACAGCGCAAGTACGCATGTGTTTCAAGGGTATCGTGTTCGTGGGGGTGGTCATCGACGCGGCCCTCTCGGGGCTGGAAGCCTATGTCCTCAACGTGAAGACGCCCATCGCCAGACAGTCCCTGGGGCCCCTGGAGCAGCATATTTATAAATATGCACGCGTGGTGCTACACGGCAAGCGCACGCATCGTTCTGAACGCAGAGTACGCGCACCGAGTAATCGTGAAGTACAGCGCCTGATGAAGTTCGGCAGCCTTCTCGTCGAGCTCAGGGTCAGACGGCTGAAGTGGTTGCAAGATATTGTTGTGAAACAGCGTGAACATCGTCAGGTCATCGCAGCTCTTGTCGGACAGGCACAGTGGGAGGCCGCGAACTTTGAAGTCTCGAGTGATGGCGAGGCCCTCCCCGCTGCCCACGCGCGGACTAAACAGTTCTGGGCTGACGTGCAAGCGCTGTTGGAGATTGAGGAAGGGGAGGAGCTCGAATCAGGACTTGAGGGCAAGTTTTTCAGGATATTTTCGGGTGAAGCCCGAGATGTTTTCCTGAAAATCGATGTCACGCAGCTCAGGTCCAAGGAGCTTGCGGTCTCGATCCCACCTCCTGGGCCAGGGCCGTGTGAAGTTTCCCAACCTGCCACCCCGACAGAGGGGGGATCTGTAGAGTTTGGGTGTCCAGTATGCAGGGGTAGTTTTATCCTTCAGAAGGCTCTAGTGGCCCACATGAACCGTGTATGTGCACGTGTAGGAACAGATAGAGGCCCCCTGCTAGAAGCTAAGTGTAGGACGAATAGAGTGCCACATGCCGTTGCTCTTTCAACCTATTGCCTGCTCTGCCAAATTACATTCGCGGACAGGGAAACGGCGCAGTGGCACCTTGCAGCAGCACTCAAGCACAAGCGACGCATGACAGATTTTTGTTCCAGAAATCCTGAGCGAGTGGCGCACAAGTGTGCGCAGTGCACCTTCTGTGGCATTTCTGCTCCAACACCAGAGCAACTTGATCAACACTTGGTTGATGTACACTTGGCGCAGTATCTTGACACGCACGTCCTTTCTCTAGATGTCGAAGTGGTTGGCGGCAGTGCAGGCCCAGGAGTTATCGGGGGGCGAGAACCAGAGAGCGGAGGGGACGAGCAGCCAGGAGAAGAAATGGATACTTCAGCTCGAGGAGTGGATGAGAGAACGCGAAGTCAACGACGCCCACTTCAGGTCCCCAGAGGGCCATCCTGCGCCTACGAACATGAGAAAGGCTACCAGAAACTACGACTTCCAGGTCAAGCAGCTAGGAAGCGGGCACCAGCTGGGCAGTCTGCACCTCCACGTCCTCGCCAGTTTGCCCGAGTGCCTCAAGGACACCATCGCCGAGGGAAAGCCAGACGAAATCAAAGCGTTGAGCTCGGAAATCGGAAGGCTTCACAAGGAGGCAGTAGACAAAGGGCAACCCTCGGACATGGGGATATCGTGCACTGGAGCAGGGACAGCCACTATCACGTCAAGGCGGGGAGCCAGCTGCAGTGCAGGATCAACTTCTTGGGGGAGGGTCGCTCGCTCGTGGGTCGCAAGATGGCGGAGGAGCAGGAGTCAGTATGCATAGGGTCACTTCCGCACGAGCTCGAAGTCAACCAGAAGTACGTCCACTTTACAGTCTCCAGGCCTCTTTCTCTTGCAATGAGGGCGGCGGGGACGGAAAAAATGCCAGGGAATGTTCCAGTAGGGGGCCCAGTGCACAACATCAGAGGCAAGCAGTAGCAGCGATGTTGATTCAAGCAGCCACGCGTCAGATACCAGCAGCCAGTAGCAGCAGTTTCTCTGAATGTAGGTCTAGCAGGGGACCCGTCCTCCCTCCTTCCCCGCCTCTCGAGCCTCTTCCTCCTTCCGCTCCCTCCTCAGAGACCTCGTGGGGGCAGCGACTAGCTGCACTTCGTTGGAGAGTTTTGCAGAAGGACACCAGGGGCCGCAAATGATTTAACCAGCACCCCCGCGCCATGTCAGCCCCACAGTGCCAAGTCGGCACAGTCGTGGGGTGGACGCGGCCTTGCGTTCCCGAGAGTGCTAAATGGCCCCTGGTGGACTGCCTATCTTCAAGGTAGAGTGTTCTTTTACCAGGCTCTGCGGTGCATGTGAGTTTGAAGGGATTTGGACTCGGCATCGATTCAGATTCAGTCAGTCAGTCAGTCTCCTCCTTCTCCTCGTCCTCTTCCTCATCCTCCTCCTCCTCCTCCCCCTCCTCCTCCTTTTCTTCTTCCTCCACCTCCATCCCTCCAACCGATGGTGGCGGCCGTGGCGGCAGCCCGGCCCCGCGGGCGCCGCGCGCGTGCGACCCTGCGCCAGGAGCGGTCGGCCGAACGCCCATGTCCTCCCTGGCGTCGCCGCTCCGGGCGCCCGGCTGCGCGGCCGGCGGCGGCCGGGCGGCCGGCGGCAGAGCGGACCCTTCGGGGTCGTCTCGAGGGCCCCCAGGAGGTGTGCCAGCGAGGAGGGTCAAACGACGCGAAGATCGGGACATAATCGGATCGGGATAATTCGAAATCTCTGAGAATCGGCGGGTTTGGAAGATGTATTGGGCGCCGCGGCCGCTCCAGAGCGTTCCGGAACGCTCTGAGAGCGCTCCGGAACGCTCTGAAGCGGTTTATCCCGATCCTAGCTCTGTTTTACCCAGGAGGTGTGCCAGCGAGGGGGGAGAGGCAGGCAGTGGCGGGGCGTCCTGGCTCGCCCAGAGAGGCCCACCCAAGAGTGCTCCAATAATCTCTTCGTTGTGGTCTGCACGAGCTATTCTCGGAACGTTTTTTTTCTGGCTGAGGCAGCCTTGTTTTTTCACACAGCCGGTTCATGGTCTCAGAACAGCGCTTTCTCCTTAGAGCGCTTCTGGGTTCTAAGCACATTTCGTGGTAGGCCTGTAGGAAAGCCGGGACGGTCTGTCGCCGCTCAAGAGAAGGTAACCCATTCCGCCACCTTTGGGAGGCCCTCGTCGCCACCTCTGGATACGCTTCGAAGTTCTGGCCAGAGCGCGGCCCTGAAGAGGTCCGGGGAGGAGCGGCATCGGTACCGCTTGGCTTCCCCAAAAGTGTGTGTTGGTTTCAGGGGAATGGCAGGGGGGGGATCGCTCAGAGGGGGGGTGGGCGCAGCGACCTCCAGTCGCCCATTCATCGCCGATAGATAACCCCCCTCAGGAACATTCGGATGCGCTGTCGGGGGCCTGTCGCCGATCTGTCGGCGATGCATCACCGGTTTCAGGTCGATGTCCCCCGCCCTCTGAGTCCAACCACCTCATTCCTAATTATCGTTCCCCCTCAGTTTTCTGTCCAGCGTCACCGACATCACGCAGCCTGTTTTGGCCACTATTGCACAGCCTGCGTCTTTTCGAAGATAGCTTCGGTGGACAATCACACTTGCGCTGACACGCGCTGTGATGGTCATCGATCGTCGGTGGCATGGTCGTCGTTCTGGTCGAGAGGGGGGAGGAAGGGGGGGGAGGGGGAGGGGGAGGCGTAGGAGAAGCAGGGATGGAGAAGGAGCAAAGGATAGAGAAGGAGGAGGAGGAGTAGGAGGAGAGGAGAAGGAGGAGGAGGAGGACCTGGATTTGTAGTTCGGTATGGAAGATGTGGCCGAGGAGGAAGAAGAGGATGTAGAGAAACAGAGAGGGCGAGCAGCAGCAGGAAGAGGATGAGTAGGTCTTGTAAAAAAAAGGAAGGAGGGTGAGGAAGGGGTATGAGGGAAAGAGGGGGGAGACGGTCGAGGGGGGGGAGGGAGAAGTGGATGCAGAGAAGGAGGAGGAGGAGGAGGGAAGTAGAGGAAGGGGAGGGGGAGGGGGAGGAAGAGGGGGAGGAGGAGTAAACCTTGAGAAGGGGCCCTCCTGGGAGCGAGTCCGGGCGCCCACTGCCGCCCGCACCGCGCGGCCCTTGCCGTCCGTGCCGCCCTCGCCGCCCTTGCCGCCGCCGTAGCTGCCATGGCTGCCGCGTCCAGCCGCGTGCCGGGCGTGGGTCGCTGGCCCGCCACCTCCAGGAGGGGAAAACAACACACAGACACAAGTCAGCGTCGAGCCCCCAGAAAATATGGGAAGATATGGGAATTGGGCGGGAAGACAAACACCCAGAAAATATAGGGAAACATGGGGCATAGTTTTATTTGTGTGTATTTCTTTGTGTGTCCTTGGGCCCCTTGAAACGAGACCTCCAGTCGGGGGGGGGGTCAGGGCCTGTCGCCCTTCCGCGGGGGGGGAGAGGGGGGGGGCGTTCGGGCAGGAATGTGCCCAGGAGGCTTCAGACCCTGGAGGACTCCTTTATCTATTGTCCAAGGAGTGCGGCGGGGACATCCATGGCCACGGTTGAAGTTCCACTGGCTTCTAGACCCTGGATTCCTCATCCAATGATTCTTTCTCTTGTGCCCTCGCCGTACCGCCCGCCTCGCCCGCGTCGTTATCCCGGTCCAGCCTGACACCGCTTGGCCTCTCGCTCAGGCCGCGCCCGCGCCCTCGAAAGCTCCGTCCGGGCTGCCACGGGTCGCGGAGCTGCAGGCGCGTGCCGCACAGGCCCAAGGCCCTTGGTGAAACAGACTCCGCGCGACTACGGTAGGTTTCGAAGGAGGAGAGGGTCCCCATACCGCTACCTTTGCCTCGCTTTCCTCTTTTTGGGCCTCCTGGGAGGCCCTCGTGGCCACCGCCGGATTCGCCTCGAATTTCTTGGTCAGAACGCACCCCAGGAGAGCTCCAGAGAGTAGCGGCATCGGGTATCGATAGCTATGCGCTTCCTCAAGGTTCGGGTCGTGTCGACACGGCGGCGAGCCCGGCGCGGGCTTTCAAGGTTGAGCGACGCCAGCGCGCCCCACAGTCGACCACTGGGGAACGATCTGTCGAGCAAAAAGCCGCCGATCGTCCAAGGTTGAACGATGCACGCATCCACGCGCCGTCAGGAAGCAACGCCAGAGTCGTCACGACACGAGCCTAATGTAACGACGTGCCCGCTTCCTCATCACGACTACCGTGTCCGCGCTTGGTGGGGTTAGCCCATGGCTGCCACGCCGCCCCGCGCCGCCTTTCCTGAGCGGAGTTCGCTCTCTCGCAATATTGTCGCCCTGCCAAGCCCTCCCTTGGTGCTTAAAGCGCCTCGCTGGTACCTGCACCAAGCAGGAGGGTGCCATGGACTTGAGCCAGTCCGTAGCCTTTGGCTCAAGGCCACGAGCGGGTCCCTCTCAGGAGTCTCCCGTACTTGACGGGGCGCCCGTACGCAAGTCAGGCCACCCGGCCCCCGTGGGCGTTTGGTAGTGGTGGCGTGCGTGCGTGCGTGAGTGCGTGCGTGTTTGTGTGTGTGTGTGTGTGCTGGTGTGTGCATGCGTCGATTATTCCTCCCGTTTGAGCGCGGTGGTGACCGCCTTCGCTGCTGTCCACAAGCTGGCAGTCCGCCCTCGCTCCTCTCCCTTCTCACCGCTGCCCCCCCCCCCCCGTGGGAGCTTGCGCAGTGCGGCTCCCTCTGGGTGAGCCCCGCGCTTCCTCTCCGGGGGCTGCGCGGGGGCCCCGCGTGTTTCCCAGCGCCCCGTCGGCCTGACTCCGCCGCGCCGCTGCGCGCGGGGCCCCGACGCACCCCCAAACTCTCGTCGTCGAGCGAGGGGGAAGTGAGGAGGAGAATGCCCTCTCAGAAGGCGGCGGGGCTTCTCGGAAGCCCTCCGGCCTCCTGAGAGGTTTCTTGTGTCTTCGGGGGAAGCTTAAGCAATTTCTCAGAATGCCGCGGGATTTCCGAGCCTTCTGAGAAGGCCTTCTTCTTCTTCTCGTTCCTCCCTGGGCTCGCTTCTGATAAACAAGTGCGCTGGGGTGAGGGGGGGGCGGCATGCACTTACGGTCGAGAGCTTTTGGATATCGTGTCGCGGTTCCGGCCCACCACGATGGGCGCGACACGCTATCCACTTCCCCGTCCCCAGACGTCAACGTCGGGAGTCCCGAGCCTTTACCGACCCTCTGCCCCGCGAAGCGGAGAGACACGCTATCCACTCGCAAGGCATATCGTGTCGCTGGGGCTGCCGTGGCGACGCGCGATCCCAATTCCTGGAGTTCCCCTCCCCTGCTGTCTCCTACATCGCAGGCGGCATAGCCCCAGGCCCTCTGCGCAGAAGCAGAGCCCGAGGAGGTCGAAGCTGCTGCACTGCGTCCGCTGTCCACAGCATGCGCAGCTGTGGCCTCGAGGACGGGCCCATGCTTGACCAGCGAAGCGTCCAGGATACATGTGAGTAAGATCAGGGGCGGCCAAGAGGGGGGTGATGACTAGGGGGGGTGATATCATGGTGTGGGCCATGATATTTCCTCTGATTTCATTACGTCCCTGGCTCCCCCCCATGGGCCGCGCATGTGCTGGCGGCCATGATTTGCACCCCCCCCTCTTGGACGCCCCCCTCTTGGCCGCCCCCGATAAGAGGCGGCGGACCAGCTGCGAGCGGTGCTGGAGGTGGCCCTAGTGCAGTGGCCTCTCCAGGAATACGGCTCTCACGAAAGCCAGAGAGATAGAGAGAGAGAGAGAGAGACAGAGAGAGAGAGAGGGAGAGAAAGAGACAGAGAGAGAGAGAGAGAAAGAGGGATATATATATATATATAGAGAGAGAGAGAGAGAGAAACAAACAAATAAAGAACGAGGGAGGGAGACAGGGAAGGAGAGAGAGAGAGAGAGAGAGACAGGGAGACATACAGAGACAGACAGAGAGAGAGAGAGAGAGTGAGGGCGCGAGACACGACAGAGAGAGCCCGCCCCCGTGCAGCCGCCGCAGAGGCACCCCTCCCCCCGCCCGGCTCGTCCTCGCAGCCCCCGCTCGGGGAGACTCGGCGCTCTGCCCCTCCCCCGGGGCGAGCCCCGCCCGCCCTACGCCCCGCCGCGCGCCGCCAAAGGTGCCGCTCCCGGAGCCCCTGCGCGCCACGCCGGGGGACGGCGCCGCCCCGGGCAAGGCCGGAGCGCCGCCTGCGACGGCCCCCGCCCGCCGGCGCCGATGTCGCCGGTGGGGTCGCTGCAGCCGCCGCCGCCCTTTCGCTGCTGCCGTCGCCACCGCCACCCTCTGCCTCCTCGGGTGGCGGAAGAGGAGGATCTAGGGGAACAAAATGTAACATAAACATAAAAACTCGGAGGTCCGCGCGGATTTCTCGGATCGGCGCTGGGCCCCCCGGCGGCGCCTCCGGCGCCGCCCCTTGCGCGCTGCGCGCGCCAGGGAGGGGGGCCCCAGCGCCGATCCGAGAAATCCGCGCGGACCTCCGAGTTTTTATGTTTATGTCACATGTTGTTCCCCTAGGGTCTTGGCTCGCCTATAGCCCCACCAAGCAATGGTCTAATAACCGTTTGTGGTCTGCACGAGATGTTTTCAGAACACTTCTGGCCGGGACTGTCTTGTTTGAACACATCGGGCTTGTGTTCTGAGAACCTTGTTTTTGTTCTTAGAACACTTTTGGGTTCTAAGAACATTTCGTGGTAGTACTATAGGAATGCCGGGACGGTCAGTCCCTGCTCAAGCCCGCCAGCCGACGTCGCCGGCGTGATCGCCGCATCCACCGCCGCCGCTGCTGCCGTCGCCACCGCCACCTTCTGTCTCCTCGGGTGCGGGAAGAGGAGAATCGTCGGGGGTGGACAGAGCCCCCAATAGTGACGCGTCGATGAGTGAATTGTCCGTTTTCGGTTCTCGAGAGGGCGCCGCGGCCGCTATTTTCCAGGCTTGCGCCCGCCAGGTTTGGGCCTCAGGTCGTTCTCACTAAACCACGTTTTACTAAAGGGGGGTCTGTCCATCCCCGAGATCGGACGGTCGAAGATGGAGATGTTCGGAAGCTGTGGGGCCTTCGCGAGGCCTGGCGTCGCCGTGGCTCGATACCCTTCGCGAAGTTCCGGCGAGAGCGCGGCCGAGGCGGGGTTGTGGGGTCGTCGTCGTTCGGAGGTTCGCCGAGCACTTCATACGGGCCCCAGGACCACCATCAGAGATCGATCCAGGAGAAAGCGTCCAGCACGATTTCGTTTTGAGCGGGGCGTGGTCGGGTGCAGGGAAGAAAGGAAATGAGGAGGGACTGGGGGGAGTGGGGGGGCGTTAGGAAATAGGGTGATGTGGGTGGAGGGTAAGGGGGGGCAGAGGGAGAAGAGGCAGATCCAGAGACGGCCAGAATGAGCAGTGGAAGTGTGGAGGAAAAGTGCAGGGGGAGGGGGGCATGGGGAGGGCGAGGGGGAGAAAGGGGAAGGTGGGGGTAGGTGGGGCTAAGGTGATGGACGGATGAGGGGGATGGGCAGGCGGAGAAGCAGCGACAGCAGCGCAATAATGAGCCCAGCAGCATTGGGAGGAGGAGGAGGAGGAAGAGGAGGAGGAGTGAAGAGGTTGAGATGGTGGTGGGGCATCAGCCCCATGCGAGAGTTAGGGTGGCTCCTTCGGCCGTAATGCATCGCCCTGGCGGCGTTAGCATGTGCGCGTTCGTTTTCGTCGTCAGAATCATCTCCTCATAATCATGATCATTAATTGTTTCGCTCATCCCGCTGGCCCATCTTGTCGCACCGCTTTCGATTGTCCGCGTGATCGTTGTCAATGCGGTGCGGCTGGGCAGGGGCTGTTTTCCAGAGGGGGGGCGTGGGGTGCGTTGGAGGTGACGCAGTGACTGTGGAGGCGGTTTCGAGGGTTCGTCGCAGACTCCGGCGGTGTTGCCTGGGCAGTCGTGGGTTATCACGGGGTTGGTAGGTGCTGTGCTCGTGTCATTGTGGGATCGTTGATCATGGATGGTCGCCTTTGGGCCACTCTGAAGAGCCATTCCTTGCAAGATTGAACCTTTCCTCATTGGAGGGTGGTGGCCTGTGAATGCGATCGCAGGAACCAAAAACATATTATTCAGTCTGATTTCCTCTGTACTTCCTTCCTCTGCAGCTATGAGTCATCGTGTTTGGCGGGGGCGTGGTGGGGAAGTGGCCGTGTAGAGGCGCGAGCGTGACAAGCCTGGGTGGCAGAGGCGGAGGAGGAGGAGGAGAAGGAGGAGGAGGAGGAGGAGGGATGAGGAGGAGGGCGTTCGGGAAGCTCCGGGGGCTCATACTCTATGTAGTGTGTAGCGGCCTTTGGTCCCCCAAGGCTCATACTCTATGTAGTGTGAAGTGGCCTTTGGCTAGACTCGGCCGTGGACGACGAGCCTTTTTATCAGGCGTATTGGGGTTTCTGGGGAGGCTTGGTGCAGCATTTTGAGGTCTCGTGGGAGCCTCTCGGAGAACCCTGGGGGACTTTGGGGGGCTTCTTGGGGGCCTTTTGGGGCCTCCTGTGGGCATCTTGGTGCAGAAAGCTCAAAATGTGGTCCCGTGGGGTACCCTTTTGGGTTTCTGGGTGCCTCCTGGGGGCATCTTGGGATGCGCAATATCGGCCCTCTCTAGGAGCCGTCTCGGAGGCCTCTTGGCCCATCTTGGAGGCCTCTTGGGCTGTCTTGGGGCCCTCTTGGGCCGTTTTGGGGCCCTCTTCGAGAGGTCTTGCGCCGCATTGGCGCGGTCTTGGGAGCGGTTTAGGCCGTCTGGGAGCGTGGGGAAGCTGAAAAGGCGAGAACTCCGAACTCCTTCAAACACGTGGGAAATCATCCATTTTTGCCTCCCGGAGCCGTCAGGGACGCCTCCTGGAGGCCGCGGCGTGCTGGGGCATCTTGGGCCGTCTTGAGGCTATCTGGGGCCGTTCTGGAGCGGTGTTGGCCTCAGGCCGTGGGGCCGGCCGCATGCCACTTATATTTGGCGGCTCCTCGGGCCGCTCTCGGATCGCTAAGGAGGCCCCCTATCCTTCTTCTCCTCCTCTTCGTCCTCATCCTCCTCCTACTCCTCCTCCCCCTCCTCCTCCTCCTCCTCCTCCTCCTCCTCCTCCTCCTCCTCCTCCTCCTCCTCCTCCTCAGGGCCGCGCCCGAGAGATCCGGCATCTTTGGCGGAGCCCTTCGGGGACCTTTCCCCTGGTACGTTTCGCTCCAGGCCCCCCAGGGGCCGCCACGCGCGCGCGAAGTAGCATGCTGTCATTTCATCACCGGAGAGCTCAGCACGCCTCTGGCCCATTGGGCCCGCGAAGCCTTTCTTCTCTTTCCTGCCTTCTCCCTCATCCCCCCCCCTTCGCTGATCGTCATCATCCTCGGTCTCTCTCTCTCTCTCTATCATTTTTATCTCTGTCTTTCTGTCTCTCTCTCTCTCTCTCTCCTCCTCTCTCCTTTTTCGGAGTCGTTCTACTCCATACTCTGATCGGTTTGTTCTCTACCGGCACGTGTTGATGCCTGGTAAAGGGAGGAACGATGGGCCGTCTCGCATGCACGAGTTCGTGTCATTGTTCAATCCGCCTGGATCGGTAGTTGTTGCCTTGTTGCTCGATTCCGCTGTCGATGTCTAGTGTTGCGCATCTCCCGATTAGCAGGCACAGCGTGTTCGTGTTGGGCTTGAAGTCGTGGTACAATCATATACATGATCATGCGTGCAGCGTGTAACCCTAAGCAGACGTGCGTGCAAGGCGTGAGGCTAATTCCGATATTCGACTGGTTTTTGATGAGAATCCTAGACAACGGTTCTTGCACGTACGCATATTGTTACGCTGTAGTCATTTTGATTGGTAGCGCTGAAGGGCTAATAATCATGTCATGGATATGCGGCCATGTGTGTGTGTGTGTGTGCATGCGTCTTTCTTGTCAGCGCATTGCCGGTCAGCGCACGCATTCACGTGACGAGTTGCGCCCCTGTTGGTCTCGGCGCGGGCGGGCATCGTTAATGACGGTTCCGGCGCAGTTGTTGTTGATTTTTCCGGCGCTGTTGTTTCCCGTGTTCGTTTCTTTTGGTGGGGGCATGGTTCAGATATCTTTTGCTTTACTGGATCCGAGCCGATTTCAAACCGGTTCTGAACGTCCTTTCGATCACCAGACTGCCCAGGCCGTGTCGGTGAACAGTTTTTGTGTACTGGTTCGCTGAAATTTTCTGGTTGCCGTTTTTGTGATGAAGAAATTTGTTATGACACCACGTTCGCCCCCGCTGCTTGAAACACCGTTGTCAGCGTGCACTAAGCGAAGTAGAAGGTGCTTTTTTTATCCGTAAGGGCTTCGCCCCGTGCCACTGGCCCCCTGTCTCGGATAATGGCAGATGCAAAAGCTAGATCATGAGGTCTGGGCGCCGCCGTGAAGCAGTGTCGGGACCTGTTTGTTTTTCGACCATGACCCCGCCGATCTGCGTAAGGGGTGCCACCGAATTTCAGGAATGTTGCAAATCCCTTTGATTTTGGACCCTGGCCCCGCCGATTTGCGTGAGAGGTGCCACCGGATTTCAGAAATGTGGCAAATCCTTTTGTTTTTGCACCCTGACCCCGCCGATTTGCGTGAGGGGTGCCACCGAATTTCAAAAATGAGGCACACCCCTTGTGTTTTTTGGACCCCGACCCCGCTGATTTGTTTGAGAGGTGCCACCAAATTTCAGAAATGTGACACATCCTTTGAGTTGTTGGACCCTGACCCCGCCGATCTGCGTGAGGGGTGCCACCGAATTTCAGAAGTGTTGCAAATCCCATGTTTTTTTGGACCCCGACCCCGCCGATCTGCGTGAGGGGTGATACCGAACTTCAGAGATGTGGCAACCCGATATGTTTTTGGACCCTGACCCCGCCGATTTGCGTGAGGGGTGCCGCCGAATTTTAGAAATGTGGGACATCCCATGTGTTTTTGGACCCTGAACCCGCCGATCTGCCTGAGGGGTGCCACCGAATTTCAGAAATGTGGCAAATCTGGTGTGTTTTCGGACCCTGACCCCGCCGATCTGCGTGAGGGGTGCCACCGAATTTTTAGGAATGTGGCACATCCCATGTGTTCTTGGACCCTGACCCCGCCAATCTGCGTGAGGGGTGATACCAAATTTTAGAGATGTGGCAAATCCCTTATGGTTTTGGACCCTGACCTCGCCGATCTGCGTCCGGGGTGTTACCGAATCTCAGAACTGTTGCAAATCCGGGGGGGTTTTGGACCCTGACCCCGCCGATTTGCATGAGGGGTGCCATCGGATTTAAGAATTGTTGCAAATCCCTGACCCCGCCGATCTGCGTGAGGGGTGCCGCTGAAGTTTGAAAATGCCGCCAATCCCTTGTGTTGTTGGACCCTGACCCTGCGGATTTGCGTGAATGGTGTCAACCCTCCCAGGGTGTGGTAGTTCTGCTGGTTTGGGCTCCACCCCCTCGCGCGTTCATCAATAAGGAACAGTAAGCAGCAAGAAGCATAACTTTAACAGTGGAAACTGGAAGCTGCAACTGGCACAGGGAGCAGCACATTCCCGGCCAACAGCCTGGTGGCCCCGCAAGGGGGCTGGCGGATTAATTGTTTGGTCGATCGGCGCCGGCCTTCGGACCCCCCTCTCCCCCCCCCCCCCCATGGAGTAGATCTTGGCTGTTCATGGCGCCTGTCTCGAGCAGGTGGAGTCCCTCCCTCTTAGGACGCGCATTACATTAAGCAGAGGTCCGGAGCCAGACCCTCCCCCCTCCCCCCCCTCCGCCCAATGTCGAAACGCCGAATAAGAAAACGATTGCAAGCGAAGGAGAAAAGGAAGCGGTGGAGGCGGGGGGCGAGGAGAGGGAGACTTAGACTTTGGTGCGACTCGTTTCCCTTTCGACTTCTGGTGAGGCCTGGGCGTGAGGCGGAGGAGGAGGAGGCTGAGGAGGGGGAGGAGGGGAGGAAGAGGAGGGGGAGGAGGAGGAAAAGGAGGAACAAGGAGGAGGATGAGGAGGAGGGGGAGGAGGAGATGAGGAGGAGGAGGAGGAGGAGGAGGAGGAGGAGGAGGAGGAGGAGGAGGAGGAGGAGGAGAGGAGGAGGAGGAGGAGGAGGATGAGGAGGAGGAGATGAGGAGGAGGAGAGAAGGATCAGCAGCTGGGGCAAGGTCAGTAGGAGGTGCGAGGAGGGGTCAGGTTCTGGCCTCCGGCCCGTCAGCCCATAGAGAAGCGATGCCCAGGCGAGTTGTCGAGACCAGGGAGCCAAATAGTTGCCCATCGGTCGTTGAAATGAGGTATTTTAGGATCCCCAGATTTCAAGCTACTTTGGGCGCCTTCCTACTTCAATGATCGAGTGGCTTCGCCTTTTCCGTCCTCCTTCGGGGACGGGCGGACACCCAAGCTGTTTTCAACGCCTTCCTATTTCATGTTTCTACCTACTTCTTCCAATCGATGTGTAATCACACAATGCAGCAATGGGGCAACAGTGGTGAACTCTGAGATCTCTGGGGGGCCTCTAGGGGCCCTCAGAGAGCTCGGAAAGGGGGTCGAGGGAGGCGCGGTGGAGGCGGTGGCGCCGGCGGGGAGGAGGCGGAGGGGGGGTGAAGTGGGTTGGGAGGGAGGGGCGAAGTGGAAGGCCGCGGGGGGGGAGGGTTTGACACCTCGTGCCCGACCCCCTCTCCGTCCAGACCCCAGGGGAGGTATGGGGAGGAACAAAACCTATCCTCGAAAGGAACGTGGTGTGTTGCTAGAGGAAGCGCCCTGAGCCACCTTCGCTGGGAGGGCTAGTGGGACGACTGCTCTGTAGTGTCTGCCACGTGGCATGCAAGGTGGTGTACAGGATGCGCATGCAACGCCGTGCGCCCGTATGGTGTATCCATGCACAGCTCGACGACGACCTGCTGGCGTTACCACCTCTGCGTCCTCCTGGCCTAGAGGCAGGCCTCTTGCCTTCTTCTATGCAGCCTTTTTGTACAGCAGCATAATAGACGTGTGTATCATTGCCGTTCGATGTTTTTGTGTAATTCCCCCCGCGTACCATCATCTCTTGAGATTGCAGTAGCAGGAGGGGGAGGAAGGGGGAGGAGGATGGGGGATGTAACGGGGGGGCAGGATGAGGAGGACTTGGGAGAGGAGCTGGAGTAGGGGGAGGAAGAGGCGGAGGAGATCAGGAGGAGGAGGAGGAGGAGGCAGAGGAGGCGTAGCTGGACAAAGGAGGAGGAGCAGGAGTAGGAGACGCCGGCGCGGCGGAGGATGTGATGGAGGTGGGATGACGAGGGTGGACGACGGGTGGGGCGTCCGCTCCCTTCCTCTTCGGGGGACCTTCAAAGAGGTCCTCTTCCTCCTAACGCTCATTATCCCTCCTCGTCCTCTCGAGGATGCTGAGGCTCAGGAGGTGAAGCGTGGCCTTGCTAGTGATCGGGCGGTTCCCGCAGCCGGCGAGTTGACGGTCCTGGCTGTTGGAGCCGTAGACAGTCTCGGTGCCTCAGAATGCATCCGGCAGAATCTTGCTGCCTCGACACGGTGGCGACGCTGGCGCAGGTGTTCAAGGTCGAACCTTTCTTCTACGACGAACCCCCAGACCGTACTCGCACGAGTGGCCCTTGCGGGGCGCGGTGCGGTGCGCTTCGCATCGCGTGCCAAGCCTTGTGAGTTGGCATGATCGTTGGAACTGCCGTTGAACGCTGCTCTCTCTAGACTAGTTTCTCGGAGGGGCCGTGAACGAGATGCCGCGGCAGATGAAACAAACACACCATACCGAAAGTAGATCTCTGCCTTTGGGATTCATGCCTGATTCGTCAGTGTCATGGACCGCTTTGTTGTGCATGCGCTTTCTTCCAGCAGCACCGAGGGTTGAACATTGGCGAAGATAACAGGGAAAGCCGAGACGTCTACAGTCTCGTATGGGTTCTCAAGACTTGCAGACATCAATTCACGGATCGACAACTCTACGACAAATCTGTCGAGCGTTTCCGTAGACCTCAAGGTCATGCGATCTTCAAGTCTTAATGTGTCCGACGTCGTCATGGTTGGAGTTTAATCAATCCAAGCAGTTCTTTCGAAATCGGCGCGCGGTGTATCCCGCAAGCGCCAGCAGGCATAGGAAGAGACTATTCAGGAAAAGAAGAGGAGAGGGGCGGGAAGGAGGATGAGTAGGAACAATATGAACAACAAACAATGAGAAGACGGACGGCGAGAATTTATGGAGGAGGTAGTGGAGTATGTGCAGGAGCATAACAAAGGCGCGGTTGGAGGAGAGAGATGTTTCAAGTTGCGTGGGTCATGGGATGATGGTGGCAGAAATCTTATCATGTATGCGTGGTGCAGCGTGGCGGACATGTAGCGAGCAGGTTCGTATCGGGAGGCGTCAGAAGAGGGTTATACCTGTATTCAGCCGTGGGTCCGATGCTTGCTTGCCTGCGCGGCCACAGGTTGTAGATGAAGAGCCATCGCCGCTCGGATTGTCAAGGCTGAGCCCCAGCACCCATTGTTTCTGCATTGCTAGAGCTCGTGGCAGCGGCAGTTGAGGAGGCGGAGGAGCAGGTGAAAAAGCATGAGTTTGGCAGCCCCAGGACACACATGCATCGCCTCTGAGCTTTCCAGTGCCCTCTCGGAGCGTGCTGGGACCAGCTTGAATGGCCGCGGGGCCCGATGCGCCACAGAGATCCCCGAGCCACTCGTGCCTGATGACGATTCGTATCCCACCCTCGCCTCAGAAGTCGCCGAGCGGTAAGTCGCAAGGGGCCGCTGTGACTTGGCCTCGCTCACCCTTCCTCGTGCGCGCCGGCCACACTCGCGGCGGGCTCCCTGCTCTCCTTCAGTCGGGCGTGCCCCTCTACAGGAGGAGTGTTCAAACATTGCAAGAAAGTAGTCTAGGGACGATGTTACTGCCAGATTTGCACATTTCTCGATATTTGTTGACTTTTCTGTTACTCAAATCCGCCTGTAGTTACCAGCCTCGAACTTATCCCTATCCTTAAGATATACACGCCAAAAAGCGATGACAATCTTAGGGATGCGCCCTCAAAAAATAAGGGAATCTCTAAGATTGGCATCGTGATGAGGAGATGCCCAACATAGGGATAGGGATATGTTCCAGGCTGGTAATGTAGGAGGCCATGCCCGACCTAATGCTCTCTGGCTTTCATACCTCACGAGGTGCCCGCATTCCGTCTCCTGTTCGTCTCGCTGCTGCTCCTCAAGCTCCCCTTTGCTCATAGCCCGTCGCTCCTCTATACGTTGCATATTCGGGGGGCCTCGCCTGTCTCCAAGCTTGGTGTCTTCTCTTGTGGCCGACGAAGGCTCGACGCGGACTCGATGCGGATTTTGCGTGGCTGGCACGCGGACCCGACACAGGGATTGGAAGCGGATCCGACGAGGCCGACATGTGTTCAACGCGGATTCGACGTGGATAGGGCCGCGACGGGACAGATAAGGTCCCCCAAAGATGCAACATGTCGGCGGCGAGCGAGGGAGGGAAGTGAGAAGGAGAGGGCCTTCCAAGAAGTTTCGAAGGCCCCCCGGCATTCTGAGAAGTTGTCTTAGCCTTCCCCGGAGACAGGCATATATTCTCAGCAGGCGCGAGGGCTTCTGAGAAGTCCCGCTGCCTTCCGAGAGGGCCTTCTTCTTCTTCTTCTTCTCATTTCCCCCCCTCGCCTGCCGCCGAACATAAGCTCCCTACTCCTCCGCCCGCCTCCCCCTCCCTCTGGGGCTTCTTCTCTGCGTCCCAATTCCCGCTTCTCCTCTTCCCCCCTCCCTCCGGGGCTTCTCCTCTGCGTCCTTCGCCTCTTCGCGAGAGGCTCGCTCCACTCCCGCCGCGCCGCGGGGCAGGAGCTGCGCGCCTTCCGCCTTCGTGCGTGTGTGTGTGTGTGTGTGTGTGTGTGTGTTGTCTGCCGCTCTCCGTCGTGCTGCCCGTGCGCATCGGCGGCGAGCGAGGGGGGGGACATTGAGAAGGTGAAGGCCCTCTCAGGAGGCGGCGAGACTTCTCAGACTTCCCAGAAGCCCTCGCGCCTCCCGAGAAGGCCCAGAAGATTTCTCAGAAGGCCGGGGGGTCAGCTCGCCGCTGAGTGGAAGTGTTCCGATTCGTCCACCTGTTCCTCCGCTTCTGTTGCAGGGCTTCTTGGGGGCCTCTCGGCGGCCTTCGGGGGTGGACTCCCGCGAGCCTTCTTGGGGGGCTCCTGGGAGCCAATATGCCAGCACCCCTGTCGCCTCCGTCAAAAATCAATCCACAGTGATCGGCAGGTGCCCCTCGCATGATTCAGACTTTGCCACGAAGTGCTTGTATTGGTTTTGGCAGGAATGTTGACCCTGCGCTGAACAGGCAGTATGCGGGCAACCACGGGGAGGGTCCGCACTGGTCCTGGTTGGCTGTTGTTCGCCTGAGGGAGGGGGCGTTCATTCATAGGCACAATGGTACAGTGAAAAAGCCATCCCCGAAGAGGAAGAAGGGGGGTTGGAAGAGGAAACTCCCTGACTCACTCACTAAACCGAATCCCTAAAGGGCTGGTGGGGGTCGGTTTAGTAGCTCCCCGTTCGGGCTTAAGTCCTGAAGTCCGTGCTTACTCTGGCTTAACTCTGGCCCAACAGCTCCCTACTCGAGCCGGATAGAACCGCTCCCACGACGACCCCCCAAGAGTTATTTCCTCCCGCCCTTCGTCCTACGTTTCCGAGGAAGGACGGGCGACACCTCTGCCAACAGGGGGGGGGGCACCTTCAGCGACGGGGTCCACGATGCCTCTCCGAGCTGGGGATGGGGCATGTCTCTAGCAGGGAGGGGGGGACCACGCCACCAGGAGAACGAGAACTCCCCCTGGCGCTTCACGCTAGTAGCGGTGGTGTCTTATCTCCTTGTTCATGTGCACCCTGCCTCCCCCGCCTTCCCCGCAGTGGGCGGCTGGGCAGGCTCGGCCGGCTCCCCGGCGCCCCCTCGCCCGCTGCGGCGGCGGCCTTGGAGCCGCGGAAGCCCGCGGCGCAGCCTGAGGCGCGCCGCCATCGTTTGCGCCGCCGCGGTCGCCGCTCGCCGCCACCCGCCAGCCGTCGTCGCCGCCGTCCCTGCGCCGCTAGCGTTCGTCGACGCCGCCGGCCGCAGCAGGCTGTCGCGGTCGCCGCTCGTTCTCATCGTCGCCCTTGCCGCCACCACTCGCCGCTGGTCCTCTCCTCCTCGCCGTCGCCAACCGTCGCAGTCGCCGCTTGCCGCTCGTCGTCGTCGTCGTCGCCGTCGCCGTCGTTGCCGTCGTCGTCAAGGAGGATGGAGGCTCGAGGCGTCAGGAGGACGCCTTCGTGCCGTTTCGGGCCTCCGCTCGGAACTTTAGTTCAGGGCGCACCCCGGGTGGGGTCTGGGGGCTCTCCCTCTCCCTCGCCCTCAGGATCGTCCTGGCGGCCTTGCAGGATCGTCTTAGGCGGCCCTTGGACCGTCTTGGGGCCGTCTAGGATGACTCTTTTGCCATCCTTGGGCCCTCTTGAGCCACGTTGGGGCACTCTCGGGCCGTCTTGATGCCGCCCTGGCGGCCTGCGACGCCGTCGTCTGACAGATGCCCGAGCAGACTGCGATGCCTAAATCAGTCGACACGCCAGGGGAGTCAATAATTCTTACCTCTTGGGTCCTCCTGGAGGCTCTCTCGGAGCCCTCTGGCCCGTATCAGTGGCCCTTCCTTGGGGCGCCCTGAGACGACCTGGGGCCAACCCATGGCCGTCCTGGAGGCATCTTGGGTCATCTGGGCCGCCCTGGTGGCCTGCCTCTCTTGGCCGTCTTGGGAACCATCCTGGGCACACGTGCAAGGCCTGGGGAGCCCCGGGGAGGCGCCGGAGCGCCCAGGGAGTCTCGGCAGGGGGGGGGAGAATTGCGCGCAGCAGCTTGCCGGCAGAGGGGGGGAGGTTCTTCCGGGAGACAAGGCAGCACTCGGCATGCCAGCACGCTTGAGCGTGCAAGGGGGCGCGGTGCTGGATATGCAAGGGCTGAATACAGTGGGGGTTCATGTCAAGAACCACCCTGCTTTTGCCTCCAGGGTGCCCTGGGTTTCCTGGTTCTCGCCGGTTTTGCGATGGGAAGCGTGACGTTCCCACACCAAAAATCAGTGGACGCCCTGGGGTCTCAGGGTTGGGTTTCATGTGGAAGGTTTCTTGTAGTCGGGCCCCCACTGTACAAGGGGGCGCGGTGCTGGATTCTCAAGAGCTGAATCTCACGGGTGCGTGGGCGGCGATGAAGGGAACCGAAGGTCTCCGTTTCCAAGTTTCGGGGGTGGACAGAAACCCCACCCTGACACGTCGATTAGTGAATTGTCCGTTTTTGTTGGTTCTCGAGAGGGCGCTGGCGCAGTCATTTTCCAGGCTTGTGCCCGCCAGGTTTGGGCCCGAGGTCGTTTTCACAGGGGGTTCTGTCCATCCCCGAGCGCGGTGCTGGATTCTCAAAAGCGGGATATCACGGGTGCGTTTGTGGCGATGAAGGGATCCAATAGTCTCCGTTTCCAAGCTCAGGGTGCGCGCAACGAGCGCCCGCAGTGGTCAGAGTTTGGGGGCATAGATCTCAAAGTCGTCCATGGGCGCCCTGTACTTGAACTTCTACGTCAAGCACCGTGGGCGCGGCAGATTAGGCGTCGGAGGGCTGCTAGGGGAGGATGATCACACTGAGGCGTTGATGTTTTCAAAGGCTTGTTTTCATTGTCCTACCCTTCTTGATCTATCAGCTCAGAGAAATGAGCGCATGCACGTCTTCTCGACTGCAGAGGCAAGCTTTGCATGATGACCTGCGCGCGGGATGAGGCCGATTCATCCACTTCCTTTCTCCTCTCCTCCTCCCTCTGGGTCCGCGTGGTTCGGTAGGGCATGCTGCCTACGGTTTGCGCGAGGCTGAGTCATGCTACCAGTGGCATGTTTCGCCTGATAGCGCTGGGTCACCCCCTGCTCTTGACAGGCGTAGCCGCCTGCGCTCGCTGTTTCAGTCAGGGGGTAACCCGTTGGTCCAGGACCACGGGCCCCCACGGCAGATGAAATGTCCAGAGACCAACTCGTCGGGCCGCGCACCTGGCCACGCAGAAAGCCAGCTGGCCGCGTCACCGGGCCGAGGGTTTTGACCGCCTCCTGTCCCTCTGGGGTCGCGGGGGGCCGCCAGGGATTCCTCCTCGCTCCGAGGGGTGCACGTCTCTGGAGCATTTGCAGTCAAGACGTGGCGGGGCCCTCGGGGGCCTCTGGGGGGCCTCCTGGGGGCCCGTTTGGGGCCTCTCGGGGGCCCTCTGGAGCCCTCTTGGGGGCCTCCTGGGACTGCATCGAGGCGCTCTGGCGACGTCCGGCCCCCGAGGCCCGTCCTGCGGGCCCGTCGGAGCCGCCTCGGATGGGAGGGGGGGGGGCCTTGGCGGTGTCTGCGGCGTACCCCGCTGGCCTCGGCCCCGCCGCCGGGCGCGCTCCTCGATGCTCACTGGCGCTGCCGGCGCCAGGAGGCGCCGGGCAGGGCAGCTGCGTGATGGGGTGGTGCAAAGATGGGGGTCCTGAGGGATGGGGGCCTCACGGCAGGAAGGGGACAGAGGGTTAGTTTGCCTTGTTGGAGGTTCCTCGCCCTCATGACCCGATCTCTCAGGACCCCATCCGTGTCGGGGGCGGAAAAGAGGTGGATATCATGGCGTGGGCCATGATATTTGCCCAGATTTCATGGCGCCTCTTCTCATTTCATTACGTCCCTGGCCCCCCCGCTGGGCCGCGCACATGCCGCCGGTCATGATTTGCACCCCCCCCTCTTGGACCCCCCCCTCTTGGCCGCTCCCGATGAGGGATGGGGGCCTCACGGCAGGAAGGGGACCAAGGGTTAGTTTGCGTTGTTTGAGGTTCCTCGCCCTCATGGCCCGATCTCTGAGGACCCCATCCGTGAACAACCGAGGGAGCTGGTTCGCTAGCCCCCTTTTGGTACCCTCCCCTCTTGTCCGGCCCGAGAGGATCGGGGAGACGTAAGACTCGAGTAAGCCAGAACTCGTATTTGCCAAGGTTTTTTGACGAGCGCGTCCTGGATTTTGACGGTCCAGTTCGGTGGGATGTTTGCAGCGGGAGCCCGCGTCAAATTTCAGATTGTTACCAGCCTCGCACGTATCCCTATCCCTAAGATTGACACGCCAAAAGGCGATGACAATCTTAGGGATTCGCCCTCAAAAAATAAGGGAATCCCTTAGATTGGCATCGTGATGAGGATGTTCCCAACGTAGGGATAGGGATATGTTCCAGGCTGTTAAGATTGGGCCTCGTCATTGTTATTTATGATGGCCCCCGTCAGGCCAACCCGAGTCCTCCGTTCCGAAGTCTGACGTCTCCCCGAGAGGAGGGAGGAGCTTCCTCGTCGGAGGGGGGGGGGCTCGTGTGTCGTCGTCGCCGTCGTCCTGCTCGTTGCCCGCGAGCGTCGGCGCCGATCTGGGACGCGCCCTCGCCCTCCCCCGGCCCGCACCCGAGGGCGCGCTCGCCTCGCTGGGCGCTGCGGACGCCGCACCGCAGGCGGTTGGGGTCAAGTGGGGCATGTCCCTCTGCAGGAAGAATACTCAAAAATAGTGAAAAGGAAATGTGTGAGACGACTGTTTTGTTTATCATTATGTTTGATTATGTGGTGCTTCGGTTTGGCAATGCTAAATCATCATCTGTTATCTGTCGTTTGAAATCCGCCTGTAGGGGATAGGCCCGACCTGAGGTTGAGGTGGAGGCGTGGCGGCCTGCACAGCCAGAGTGCCCAGTGTGGTAAGGTCAAAGCGCATAGTAAGGATGAGCAGCTTTCTAAGGTTATGTCGGGCGTGTCCCCCTAAAGGGGGGATTTTCGATGAAAAGTTAAAGATACCCCCAAAATACCCCAAGAAGGTTACAACATATTCAAACAAAATAGTCCCCAGACTATGTTTGGATTATTTTTTGATTATTCTTGAGGTATTAATATGTTTCGTCGACAATCCCCCTGTAGGGGGACAGGCCCGACTTAATTCTAAGGTTGTCGTTGCATCCTTCCCTCGACCCATCCTTGGCGACATTCGCTGGCCAGTCCCGTTCGAATAAAGTCAACACTGCCTGCAGGGCCCTTGCATCCTTGAAGCGCATCCCTATTATGCGTTTTGACCATCACGTGCCGGGCTGCGCACAGAAAGCCTCCCCCCAGGTAATGCAAATAATTGCCTCAACCAGGGTTGGCCTGACGGGGTTGGCCTGGAGGGTTGGCTGGGTCATTGGGAGATGGCTGGGGGGATGGCTGGGCTTGTCGTTGCCGGGAATTGTGCACCGTCGCGAAGTCTGTACGAACATTGGAAGCCATAGTGCCGAATATTTGTCCTGATTATCCTTGAACTCCTAGACGCTGACATCTTCTTCCTCACCGTCCTCCTCCCGTGGCTTCCTATTTTATCGTCGTCCTCTTCTTGCGTATTTCCGCGCCTCTGATGATAAAGCATCCACCCTTTCACAACAGAGTGTTGATTGTTTTTGGCCAAGACATTCTTTGTCGGCGTTGTGGAGCGTTGGGGTCGAACTTCACTTTTTTTTTTTTTTTCTCTCTCTCTCTCTCTCTCTCCGTCTCTCTCTCTCTCTCGATCGGCCTCTCTTACTCTTTCGCGCAGCCCCTGACTTGTGTCCTGGAGCCCGCCCCTTATCTGGACCGGCAGGGTTTGGAATCACGTGTGGGTGGCTGCCGATCTCACGCTGCCGCTGCCACTCCGCCCTGGTTGGGGCCATACCGCTGAGAAAGATGACCTGCGCCCCGGTGCGCCGACCTCTGTAAGGGGCCACATGCGGACCCTACCCCTACCCCCCACGAGTTCTGAGGGGGAGGGTGGGGTTCACTTCGCTCGGGAGCTCCCGAACGAAGTGAATCCCACCCCCTCAGAAATCGGGGGGGTAGGGGTAGGGGTAGGGTTCGCATCTGGCTCCCTACCTGCGCCCCGGTGCGCCGACCTCTGGCGACTGGACCGATTCGCGCCGGAGCATTTCCGTCACGGCTGCCGAGCACCGGCTGCCGAGCACCGGCTCGGGACGAGCAGAGAAAAGCTGGTGACGATCTCTGCGGGCCACGTCGCCGACGCCGGGAGGTATCCGCGGCCCGTGGCCGACGGATCTGCGCGCCCCTCTCGGGGGGGAAGGGTCGGGGGTGGACAGACCTCCTTACAGTGATACGTCGATTAGTGAATTGTCCGTATTCACTAAACCACGTTTTACTAAAGGGAGGTCTGTCCATCCCCGAAAGGGAGCCTTTTTTTGGTTTGGGGTGTCCAACTTGTGTGTCTTCGGGGGGCCGTTCTTGCCCTGTCAATGGCAGTCTTTTCTTGTACTCGACGCGGATTCGACGTAAATCCGACATGGAATCGACACGGACTCGACACAGATTCGACACGGATCCACCACGGATTCGACACGGATCCACCACGGATTCGACGGTTGAAGCGACGGGACAAACGAGGTCCCCCATCGTTGCAACCTAAGCGTCGGAGGTTGATAGACCTCCTACCCTGACACGTCGATTAGCGAATTGGCCGTTTTCGATTCCCGAGAGGGCGTCGCGGCCGTCATTGTTGCGGGTCCAGGTCCGTCGGTTTCGATCCTAGGCCGTTTTGACTAAAGGGAGGTTTACTAAAGGGAGGTTTGTCCACCGCCGAAAGCGTTTCCATTCCAAAAATCAGTCTCCGGGATTCCAGTGAGTATGGCCAATGGCGTTTTCTTCTGTTGCTTCTGCTCCCCTTCTCCTTCTCCCTTCTCCTATCCTTTCTGTTCGTGCCCGTGTCCTTGTCATCACCCCCGCTTATTGGAGCCCCTGAGACAGCATACTCAGGTGTTCGGGTTCCTGCTGTGTCCCTCCAAGTCGTTTCACCAGCAAATTTGCTTTCGCACATGTCTACACTCAATGTCACGCTTCCTTTCTCTGTTCTCTTCGTTGACATCCTGGTCGAGAGTCCTTGCTACATTGCGGTCGTCTGCTAGGCGTTGCGGTCAGTTTCTGCAGATGCAGTTGGTGTTGGGAGGGCATTACGATTCAGCCAGCCGTGCTTGGGGGTACCTTCATCGAATGGGGCATCGACGGATTCTGCAGCAAGTTGCAGAGCAACGGAAGCAGGCCAGCGGGCCGTCTCTTCTTTGGCATCCGCCTTGTCGACCGTGTGCGCCCGACATCGTTTGATTCGATGATGAATTCGGTGTGCACGTCTTTCGATCACGTTGATACAAGCAAGCGCGATGACATCACTCTGATGCAGGTACTTTGTCAGTATCGACTTGATGTTTCGTCTCTTGCGGGACTCTTCTGAGCCAAATTGCTTCGTGATCATGTGCATGCAAAGGTATGGACGCATTACTCCGACATGTGCTAACAATGGGGCAATTCAGGCCACAGCCCTCTGCTTCAGCCTGGGTGTCCAGGTTGTTGGTTTCCAGGCTTGGGGATTCCGAATTATGGCTTCGACGACGGTTCTGCGCACGATCTTCTGTTACCTTCGCATTCTCACCGCAACTATAGAACAGCTGATATTCCCCACGCGCCGATTTCGTTTTTGCAGCGTGTTTCTTTTCTGTTTGTCTCGTTCCACATCTCGCCATGCCGCTGGTGCCTGGTATCCGGACTGCCCGGGGCGCGGAGCGAAGGATCCTCGTTCTAGCATTCTTCTGGGAGGTCTTCGGGTCTGCCTGCGCCCCGGCAATTTCTGGCAAGGTGCGGTACCGTCGGGGCCCTGAGGAAGGAACCCTTTTCGTTGGGGAGAGGCTCCGCGTTCCTCAATTGTTTCGCAGCTTGCCTCAGGTTTTCCGTAGGTTTCCGACAGGAAGCCGAAGGTTAACTTATGGAAAATAGGGGCCTCGTTCCTGATTTAGGGTTCCTTAGGTCAACGCCCCGACTGTACTGTTTCGTTCCACAGGCCTCGATCACGAACGACACCCCTGCCCTTCCCTGGGCAGGGATTGCCGAGGGCGGGGAGGGCGGCACGTCGCAGCCGAGAGCGGCTGCACAAGTTCAGGAGGGGAAAAAACACACAGACACAATTAATCGTCGATCCCCAGAAAATCGTTGGGGGGAAGACAAAGACCCAGAAAATATAAGAAAATTTTAGGAATCTTCTTATTTGTGTGTATTTATTTGTGTGTCCTTGGTCCCCTTCACAAATGTAGAAGCGACGGCCGATTGAACTTTACAGGACGCTGCCTTCCCCATGCGCGCATTGGTGCCGAGTGCACGTGCTTTCGAATCGGCGGGATGGCCGACTCTGCGTTGGTCGTTGTCGAACTAGACCAGACCAGCTCGTTCGGAGGTGCGCCTGCCATGGCACAAGTTCAAGCTTTGGGGGGTCGACCTGTTCGGGGGCGAATGCGAACTATTCTGGCGCTGATGTCAGCGCGGGGCAAACAGGAAATCGCGATTGCTTGATGCAGAGGCGTCCCCCCCGGAAAACCCGCCTGGAATCACGCCAGCTATGTCGGGGTATATGCAGCGGGGTACCACGTCGATGCCGTGTCGACGGTATCCCCAGGAACAGACCCGTACTTTGGCGAGGTCGCATTTGGCCGAATTCGCTCTCGAGCGTATGTTTTGCCCCATAGAGCCCTCCCCAGCGCGGCCGCTGCGGGCCCCCGGGAGCGCGAGATTGCAACGTCGCTCCTGTGGGCAAGCTCAGACGTAGTGGTCGCCAGGATAGGGAGGGGACCATCTTTTTTTCCCAGCCATCCTGTGGTGTTGGGTCCTCGTTTTGAAGAGAGCTCCCCGTGTTTCTTCCTTCCGTCCTCCTTTCCTTCCTCCTCCCCCTCCTCCCTCCTCCCCCCCCTCCTTGCCGCTGCCCTCCTAGTCGCCACCGTCACCCTCCTCCTCCTCCTCCTCCTCCTCCTCCTCCTCCTCTTCCTCCTCCTCCTCCTCCTCCTCCTCATCATCATCATCATCATCATCATCATTATCATCATCATTATCATCATCATGAGCATCCTCCTCCTCATCATCATCATCATCATCATCATCATCATCATCATCATCATCATCATCATCATCATCATCATCATCATCATGGCCCCTAGGGAGCTCCACCTAAGGCCCCAGTGGCGGTGTTCGCATGCGTCTCACCCACCCAGCGTTTCGTGGCACCATAGGGAGCTCCACCTAAGGCCCCAGTGGCGTTGTTCGCATGCGCCTCCCTCGCCCAGCACAGCGTTTCGTGGTCCCGTAGGGAGCTCCACCGAAGGCCCCAGTGGCGGTGTTCGCATGCGTCTCCGACACCCAGCACAGCGCTGCGCTGCCCCATAGGGAGCCCCAACTAAGGCCCCAGTGGCGGTGTTCACATGCATCTCCCCCACCCAGCACAGCGCTTCGTGGCCCCGTAGGGAGCCCCACCCAAGGCCCCCAGTGGCGGTGTTCGCATGCATCGCCCCCACCCAGCACAGCGTTTCGCGGCGCCATAGGGAGCTCCACCTAAGGCTTCAGTGGCGGTGTTCGCATGCGTCTCTCCCACACCCAGCACTGCGTTTCGCGGCCTTGTAGGGAGCTCCACCGAAGGCCCCAGTGGCTGCGCTCGCATGCGTCTCCCCCGCCCAGGACAGCTTTTCATGGCCCCACGGGGAGCCCCACCGGACGCCCGAGTGGCTGCACTCACATGCCTTTCCCCCAACCCAGGACAGCTTTTCGTGGCCCCGTGGGGGCCTCCACCGAACGCGTTACTCACGCAGACGGTATTCACAGCTGCATAGGGTTGGGTCTTCGGCCAGGCGGATTTTTCGAACGGGGCAGGCGCCGCGTCTCCGATGCGGCCCTCGACCGCGCTCGCACCCCCGTGCCCCCAGACGCCCCTAACAAAAATCAACGCGTGATGCTGCAGCCAAACAGCCAGCCATTGAGCGTGTCGGTGCTCTTTGACGCCCGGGCGCTGAACCAGCGCGCGCGTGCGGCAAACAAAATCGGGACCATCGGACATTGCCCAACCCCGCGGGCGGCCCGTTTCACCCTGGCTGACCCCAGGCAAGGGTGTGTTCAGGACCCGTGAAAAGGGCGCTTGTGGGGGACGCGAATAGAACCGTGCTTCTCGCATCGGGACCCACTCCTTCTCCACGGAGGCCGCGCGATATCGCGAAGGTAAGCGCGCTTCGCGTGGCGCAGGTTTGGACCCGTGCTCTGTCGCAGGCCCCCATCGCCGCTCCTTTCCAAGCCATCTCCTCTCCCCCGCGCGCACACGCCCATCACACCAATCGGCCATGATCTCCTGATGTGTTTTTCCATCCGAAGGCGCATGCTCTCGCCGTCCTTCTATAGCTGCGCCTCTTCCTCCCTCCCCTTGTCTGTTCTTGTATGCCAAGATTCGTTTCCTCTGACTCCTCACTTCATCCTCCATCTCCGTTCCATCCTCCTCCCCCCCCTCTCCTCCCTCCAGTGGTATGCGCGCCACCCAGCCCCGCCCCCTCCCAGAACACGAGCAAGGCCAGACGCTCATGCCGACGTTCGGTCGATCGATTCTCCCTCCATTTCTCCTGCTCGGCGGGGTCGTTGACGAACCCTTCTCGATCCTCCCAAGACCGACGCCCCGACATGTTTCCGAGGCGCTTGCCTCTGAAGCTCTCGCCCACGCTATGAGGGAGCTGCTTTCTGACGACGCCCAGTTCGAAGGGAACCAAGCCGTGGCGACGAGACGCCAACCCAGAGGCACCCCAAAAAAGGTAAGAGAACGCGCCAGGCCCTCCTTCTCTTCTTCCTCCTCCTCCGCCGCCGCCCTCCTTCTCTTCCTCCTCCTCCTTCCACACGAAGCCCAACGTTCCCCACGTTGGGTTTCGTGTGGAAGGTTTCTTGTGGTCGGGCCCCTACCGTACCCAGCGCCGAAGCCCCCCTTCTTCACCGCCCCCCCCCCCCCCCCCCGAGCTCCGCTCTGGAGCCCTCCCCCCCTGCCGCTGCTCGCTGCCCTCCCCCATGCCGTGGATCGCCGCCCCTCCCCAGCAGCCTCCGACCGCTCCGGAGGCCCATGGTCTCGCCGCCCTTCTCGGCGCTCGGCCTCCCGAACCTGCGCCTCATGGTCCGCTGGGGGGTGTGCCGGGGGGGGGGGCGGGCGCCGCTGGGCCCCGCGGGGAGGGGGCGCGGATGGCGGGGGCGGCTGGGGCGGCGGGGGCGGGCAGGAGCGCGAGGAGAGGGGAGGGGGGATCGAAGCACAAAGGAACGCAGCAGCAATCTCTGAGCACCCGAGGGGTCTGGGATTGGGAGGCCGCTTGGAGGTGAAGGTGAGCTGCCATTGCGATGGGGGCACCGTCGCCCAGGCACGTCCTGACCTCGCGGTGACCTGAGCGGGAGCGGGGAAGGGCGCGAGGAGAGTCAAGGGAGCGCAGACATTGGTTAAGGCGCGGGGGTAAACAAGGGGCCCCGCTGCCATGCGAAATCGGAGCACGCTGTCGCCAATTGAGGCGGCATTGGCCTCCTGTGTCGAGGGTGCCTTCCCCGAGTCCATGTGAGCGTGCACCCGAGAGGAGAGGGAGGGTGGGGGAGTCGCAGAACAAGAAGCGGTGTAGCTCTGTGAGCACCACGGAGGGTCTGGGACGGTCCCCACAGCCGCAGAGCAATACAGTGCAGTTTTTGATACATGCTCCGCGTGCGGATCATGTATTAAACATTCAGGGATTTAGCATTAAACGCAACGATGCGTTCATGCATGAATTTACTCATACATTTTTCATGTGTTCAAAATCCTATATATTCAAATCCGATGCATGAACAACTGCCCTGTACTCTGACAGTCGAGCTGTTTATCGGTCGTCGTTTTCATATTTGTTGTTTTGCCCATCGGCGCGTGCCTTCGCCCCCCTCCCCCCTTTCCCCCCCCCCTCCTCCTCCTCCTCCTCCTCCTCCTCCCTCCTCCTCCTCCTCCTCCTCCTCCTCCTCCTCCTCCTCCTCCTCCTCCTCCTCCTCCTCCTCCTCCTCCTCCTCCTCCTCCTCCTCCTCCCCCTCCCCCTCCCCCTCCTCCTCCTCTTCCTCCTCCTCTTTCTCCTCCTCCTCATCTGGCGCCTGCTTCGAGCAGGTAAGGTCCCCTTCACAGAACGCACGGTTTCACACAGCCGCACTAAGCCGAGGTCCAGAGCCAGACCCCCCACCTTCCGCCCAATGTCAACACGCCGAATAAGAAAACGCTCACACGGAAGGAGCGCCGCCCAAGCAGGTCCTGACCTCGCGGTGACAAGAGCGGGAGCGGGCAGCAGCGCGAGGAGGAGGGAACCGTAAAGCACGAGTTCGCCGGCAGTCCGGAGACGCGTGAGGGGTCCGCAGGTTTGTTGGGGTCCCTGGCGGTGTGTCTGGGCCCCCCCGGCGCGCTCCGTCCAGCGCCGACGTGCAAAGTATTGCGCTGACTAGCAGACATATGTGACCATGCAGCTTTTTGGGTTCGAGCCCGTCGATCCTCGATCCCACCTCCTGGCATTGCCGCCTCCCTCCTTCCAATCGGGGAGTCGTAAGGCCCGAGTTCGGGGCATTTCGGGTTTGCCGACGCTGTTTGAGTGGGCCGACGCTGTTCATTTTTCGCAGGATGCTTACAGCGGGAGCTCGCGTCAAATTTCAAGACTTGGTCTCGTCACCCAACTCGAGTCTCCCGAACTCGAGTCTTACGTCTCGAGGAAGGGGGCAGATCGAAGAAGAAACATGATTCTCGGGGATCCGCGCGGATTTCTGGAGTCGGCGTTGAGCCCCTCGGGCGGCGCCTTCGGCGCCGCCCCTGGCGCGCTCCGCGCACCAAAGAGGGTGGTCTGGGTGGCGAGAGTCCAGGCCTAGTAGCCCCCAAATGGAGTCCAACGGATGGGGTGGAGGATCGCACCGCATCGCCGATGCCTCGGCGACGCGGAACGATGTGCAGCCCGATCTTCTCCACGCCGACGTCACTGGTGCATCACCGACGTCGCTGGTGCATCGCCGATGCGTCGGCAACGCATCGGCGATGCATCGGCGATGCGGTGCGATACTCGGGCACCATGTGCTCGGACCCCATTTGGGGAGGCCTGCAGAGGTCTGCGGAAAGGGAGGGACGCGAATACAGACGGCGGCAGCGGTGGCGAGCGTAAGTTTTCTTTACGACCGCCCGGCATTGAATGGCTCACGCTGTTTGCAAGCAGCAGCCAGGGACAACGCCGTCCGTGTGTCAGGAGGGGAACAAAACACACAGACACAATGAATCGTCGATTCCCCGGAATATATGGGAGAATATGGGAAGTGGGGGGAAGACACAAACCCAGAACATATAGAAATATGGTGAATCCAGTTATTTGTGTGTATTTATATGTGTGTGTGTGTGTCTCAGGGCCGCTTCAGTGTGAGCATTCTCCCCGCACCCTCCTCCTGCTGGTTCTGTTCGCCTGATCCTCCTGCTCCTGTGGCATTGCTGCATCGTCCACGCCTCCTTGTCCTGTTCCCCGCCTTCGAGCAGACGGTCCATGCTGATTCAGAGGCCCCCCCCTGATCAAGATGCGCCGTCCTTTCACCATCGAAGGCTCCTACTCAGACCGCTTGTTTCCTTCGGCGGGCGGAGCGCTTCGCCACGCTTCCCTCAGCCTCGTCCACGCTCTCCTGTGCACCGTCTGCAGTTCCATGCGTTCCATGCCAGTGGGTTTCGGCACAGTCGGCTCCTCTTTCGAAGTCGGACCCCCCTCAGCTTGGCAAAGTCGAGTCGGCATGGAAAGTCGGTGCGCCACGGTTTGGGTCTGTCGAGCAGTTGCATCCCCACGCGGTCCGTGCTCGTAGACAGGAAGGATGTCAAGCATTTCGAAGTGGAAAGCGTGTTCGTGCACGCTTGATCGCATACATTGCCGACGCGCCTGAGGGCCGCGAGCGTCTGGCCAATCTCTCTCTCTCTCTCTCGCTCTGTTGTTTTTGAATTGTTTGGGGGTCTCGGTTTTTGCGGGCAGCCGCCCTTCGGCGGCTCGTTCACGCGGCTGATAGCAAGTCGTGCTGGCATTGTTGCACATGCACCGTTGGATCCAGCGACCCTCAAAGAACACCTCGTTCCTCACGCTTTTTGTTTTGTGTCCGCGTTGGGGTCCCTGGTGGTGTTTCTGGCGCCGCCCTCAGCGCGCTGCCGCCGGGGATGGGGGGCCAGTGCCGACCCACGAAGTGTTGCGCGGACTCGGACATTTGTGACTGTGCAGTTTTTGGGTTATGACCTGTCGACCTTCGACCTTACCTCCTGGTGATCTCTACTTCCCTTTTAATCGGGGAAACGTGAAATCCGAGCTCGCCGGAACCAGGGTTTGCCGACTCTTTTTGGATGGGTTCGTCCTGAGATTGAACGGTTCAGTTTTCGCGGGATGCTTGCAGCGGGAACTCTCGTCAAATCTCTGATCGGGTCTTGTGACTTCCTGACGGACCCGTCAGGCCAACCCGAGCCTCCCGATCCGAAGGGCGGGGGGCACGGTAGGTGCGTGTCGTGTTGACGCGGTGGCGACCTCATCCCGGGCGTTCAGGGGTAAACGCCGCCAGCTTTCCATAATCGGTCAACATCAAATGATTTTGCGAAGCAAAACCCGCCGATCGTTCCAGGTTGAAGACTCCACTCGGTGTCAAAAGTCAGAAACCCGTGTCGCGGTCGTCAGCGTCACCGCTTGATCCCGAGGCTTTGCCTCCTCCTGGCCTGACCGTGAGGCCTCTCCTTCTATCTCCCCCTCTTTGTTCATTCAAGCTTCGCGCGGCCCGCTTAGCTTCGACCAGAAGAGGTGCGCTCTCGACCTGCGAATCAAAAAACAAGTGTCGCGGTCGTCACGCCGCGAAGCTACCCATTTTGCGGCAGGTGTCGGTGACCGCGCGGGAGCCCGCGAAGAGCGCCCGGAGCCGGGAGCGCAAGGCCCGGCCCTGCCGCCGGCGCGCCGTCGCCGCCGGCGTGGCGCCCGCTGGAGCGCGGTCGTCGTCGTGCCCTGCGTCGATCGGAGGCGAGCGTTCGTCCACTGGTCCATACTTGGATTTACCCATAACGACTCGGGGGTGGACAGAACCCCCAACAGTGACACATCGATTATTGAATTGTTCGTTTTCGGTTCTCGAGAGGTCGCCGCGGCCGTTATTTTCCAGGCTTGCGCCCGCCAGTTTTGGGCCCGAAGTCGTTTTCACTAAACCACGCTTTACTAAAGGGAGGTCTGTCCATCCCCGAACTTGGATTTACCCATAACGACCGCCTGGGGGTTCGATCTTCGGGGGTCTCCGCGGGCAGTGGGTCTGGATGTGCTCTTGACGCTTCGCGCGTCCCCGCCAGCGCAGTGGGTCTGAAACGATGCCAAGGGCAAGGTGCCATGATGAGGGAGGTGTCGCAACATGCAGTGAGACAGAGGGTGAAGGGAGATTACGTATGCCTTTGCGATTCCCTGCACGGTGCGGGAGAAGGAGGTGGTGGAACATTAGGGAGGATAGCGATGATGATGATGGTGATGATGATGATGATGGTGATGATGGTGATGATAATGAGGATGAGGATGAGGATGACGATGATGCTGCTGATGATGATACTGATGGTAATGATGATGATGACGATGATGACGATGATGCTGAGTATGCTGATGATGCTGTTGCTGGTGCTGATGATGGTGCTCATGCTGATGCTGATCATGATACTTATGCGGATGGTGCTGCTGGTCATGATGATGAGTATGATGAATTGATGCTCATGATGATGATGTTGCTGCTGCTGCTGCTGATGATGATGATGATGATGATGATCATGATGGTGATGGTGATGATCATGATGGTGATGGTGCTAGCGATGGTGATAGCGATGGTGATGGTGCTGATACTGATGATGCTGACGATGACTATGACGGTGGCGATGACGATGACGATGAGAGGAGAAGAATGAGGAGGAGGAGGAGGAGGAGGAGGAGGAGGAGGAGGAGGAGGAGGTGGAAGAGGAGGAGAAGGAGGCGGAGGCGGAGGAGGAGGAGGAGGAGGAGGAGGAGGAGCCAGCGGCAGCAGCAGCAGCAGGGAATAGGGCGAGGTGGCCCCGCAGGGAGCTCCACCGAAGGCCCCATTGGCAGGGTTCACATGCGGCTCGCCGCCCACTGCGTGTCCATTTCGGCACACCTCTCACACGTTTTGTGGCCAAATGGGGCTCCACCGAGGGCCCAAGTTGCAGGGCTCGCATGCAGCTCCCCGCACACCGCATATTCATTTCTGTGCGAGCTGCCCTCTAGGAGCTGCCCGACGCCAGCACGCTCTGCCCAGCAAATTGCCCGTTGTCAGCCACCCGTGCTTTTTCGCGTCGTGCCGCGGACAACCCGCACGCGTCGCCGGGGCTCCTTCGGGGCGACCAGCGCGCGTCGCGGGGCTTCGGCACCGCGCGGTGCCCAGCGCATCGGCCACTGGGGCGCAAGGACAACGAGGGGAGAGACACGAGAGAGAAGGAACGTGATACAGAACAGTGGGCCCCGTCGCTCGGGCCGCCACGGGCCGGGCGGGCAGCAGCTCAACTCCGCACATTGGATGCATGAATGACGGCCCCAAACACATATTGCGGTTACAGCCTCAATAGAGAGCGCAATTCCATTCCCGCATCCGCGGCGCGCATCAACGCGGGGGCGCTCGTGCGCGAAGGGGTCGCGGGCACGAGCTGAGACCGACCTCCGACCCCCCTTTCTGCAGGCTAACACCTAGTCGCGCCAGGGGACACCGCAACCTGGACGCGCTTATGGGGAAGCTCGCTGAAGGAAACGACAACCCACCCCACCCGCAAGAAACTGAGCGTTGCTCAGCGCCCGAAACCCACAAGTTCGTTTACCTGCGAACCCCCCGCGCAGGTCGCAACTCCCATAAGGGGCGGAGGACATCCTGCTGGGGCGAAGGACCCAACGTGCCATGGCTCAAACCTGGTTGTGGGGACCTGGGCGGGGTTGGAATGGGGGGAGAGCGCGGGCCTTTCTTCGGCCAGTGGTGCGCACAACGTGCACCCCTGTGCTTTTTAACCCAGGGGCCGTTGAAACAGGTGAGCATAATTTGTGTCTCAGGTTTTGCATATTGTGTGCGTGTCATGATCTCACGCGTACTCTTGCTGGCTCAAGGGAAAAACATTTACTGCGCTTGCTGCTGCCACAGTTGGTAGCGGAGCCTGGTTCCAGGCTGGCGGGCCAATGGGCGGCGAGGGACAGCAGCTCTGAGGGCTGCGCCCGGAGGCCGTTCTCGCGCTCCCGGCCAGGGCCAGGCTCGCGCCGCCCGGGCGGCGCGGCCGCGGAGATGCCCGCGGAGGAGGACGACGGATTCGCTGGCGCGACCTTCGACCCAGCCCGCCCCAGCGGGCAGGCATCGACGGAGGCGACGCCGGCGGCAGGCAACATCGTGACGATTTCCATGGACCAGCTCCGAGAGATTGTAGCCGGCACTGTACGTGAGACCATGGGCGCTGCAAGACCGTCCGGCACGGCTGCCGAGACGGCTGGCGCGGCCGGCTCATCCTCTCGGAGGACAGCAACAGACGGTGATGATGGCGACGGGAGGCCGAAGGATCCTTGGTGGGAGGCAGCAGCAACATCGGATCCCTGGAGCTCCGGCAAGGACCCGTCGCAGTCCTGGCACAAGCCAGGCGACAAGGACGACAAGTGGCAGGACGACGGCTGGAAGAACTCCGGCCAGAGTGACAAGTGGCAGGACGGCTGGTGGGCGAACTCCAGCTCCAGCTGGGGAAAAGGGGACTACTCTGACCCACCAGCGTGGCCCGGATGGGCTCAGTACAGACCTTGGCGTCGTGCATTACGACGCTGGAACACGAACGCGGACGTTCCCCACTGGCGTCGAGGAGAAAAGTTCTTGAAGCTCTTCGACTACGCCATGCAGGCCAAGTTCGACGACATTCCAGAGGCCCAGATCACGGGCCGCGACTGGATCGACGTGGTGTTGGGCCGTATGGACTTGATGATAGGTGAACGCGAGGGAGACGAACTTCGGCGGGCAGGCCGCCGAGCTCTGTTCGAGGCGTCTCGCGAGAACAAAGAGACGCTCATCCAGTATGTGAGTCGTCGTGAAGCTCAATTTCAGGAGGCTGAGACGAACGACCTCTGGATCTCCTCCAAGATGAAGGGGCTCATGCTTGAGGAAGGAGCCAACCTCACGGCCCAAGGTATGCAGAATCTCAGGACGCTCACTCGAGGTAAGCTCGAGTACAGCGACGTGAGCTGGGCCCTGAGGCAAATGGATGCATCAGGTTCTGAGCGGCTCCTGCCAGGTAGGGTGTCGAGTAACTACGCCGAGGGCGAGGGCCCCGGTGATCAGAATTATCTCCCTCCTTCCTCCTTCCCGGTCGGTGGTTCAGAAGGTTCCGACGACCAGGAAGATGACGAGGAGGAGTGCGACGACACCGAGCTGGACGACGAGGCTGCGCTCATGGCAGAGCTCGAGGACCTCGACCTGGACGAGACGCAGGTGGAGGAGGCCCTGGCCATGATCGAGTCTCGACCTTCGAGCCGTACTTGGAAGCAGAACAAGGAGATCAAGCGCGCTGCGAAGCGCGACAGGGAGTACTTCGGCCCCAAGAAGACTGGATCGGGGCACCCGCCTCCCCCGCGACCAGGAGGTGGCGGCCGCGGGCGGCCGGGCCGCGGCAACGGCCGTGGCAAGGGGCGCCGCCCCAGGCTTTCTCCCGAGCAGCTGATGAAGATCACCCGATGCGGGATATGCAAAGAGAAGGGGCACTGGCACCGTGAGTGCCCCAACAAGGACGACCCCAAGTTCAAGAAGCGGGGCCTGGCCGCATACACGTTCGACGGTGTCGTGTCGGATCCAGCAGGCTCGTGGGCGGTGTCCCCAGAGACCCTGCAGGACTGGAAGGAGGTCGGCCAGGAGCTGCTGGACAACAGCTGCGTGTACCTCGTGGCCAGGGCGACCCAGGGGCTAGTGGACCCAGGAGCGGGTTCAGACCTGGTTGGGCTCGCGGCGCTGAACCGGGAGTCAAGGGCTCTCGCCGCAGTCGGCATGAAGTACGAGCTGATTCCTCGACAGCATCAGCGGCCCCGCGCTGCTCATGGCGTGGGAGGTGCCGCGAAGGTGGTGACTTCAGTTCTCTTCCCGCTGTGCATGGGAGGAGTGCTCGGCATCATCGAGACGACGGTGCTACTGGAGGAGGTGCCGCACATTTTGTCGGTCAACCTCCTGGAGTTTCTGGGCTGCGTCATCGACCTGCCCCAGAACAAGATGACCTCCGCCACCCTAGAGACGGACATCCAGCTGACACGTCTTGGTTCGGGCCACCGGATGGCCACGATTGTACAGGCACTTGAGATGCCGCTGGGCGTGCCGGAGTCTGCACTGCGAAAGTACCCTTTTCTTTCACAGAATTCGTTTCAGTTGAACGCTGGCGACGCGCCAGAGATGCTCGAGTCGGGAGCCCTGAGGGCTTACATCATCCTGGTCATCATCACTCTTGCCGTCATCCTGTTCGTGATAGTGGGCGCCCGGATGATGAGCCTCGAGAGGGCCTGCGAGAGGGTTGTCTCGGGGATCAGTGCCTTTGTCGTGGGGATCGGCCTCACGATGGCCATGCACCGGATAGGGATCAAGCACGAGCCCTTCGGGCTCTCCCAGCCTGGGGCTCAGCTAGCGTCTCGGGGGCCTAGCGTCAGATCCATTGGGGCAACTAAGGCGATATGGCCAGCAAGGGCTGCGACAAGGACCCAGTCCCGACGATCCGGGGCACCTCCGGCAGAGAGCGAGTCCGTAGCCCATCTTGGCTCGAGCCATCAGTCAGACTTCGACGATTTGATCACCGATCAATCAGAGTTCCAGTCGGCATCCCGCAATGGCCCAGAGGCTCTGGGCTTGGTTCCTTTTCCTCACCGGGGCGGCAGCGGCGCCCTCTCCAGCTCCTCGTCA